TGTCATTATTTACATAATCTGAAAATTCTTACTGCCTGGCTGTCATGGTCACTGTCTTGGAACAAATATGCGGATAAGATTTCTGACTTAGCAGATCTGCATTCTTCCAAGCCAATGACTCAGAGTATTGAAGGCATTGGGTCAGTGTGTCAGCCAGGCGTTTAGGATTTTCACAAGGACGTCAGCAGTGGCATTGCCATGTTTCCTTCATTAAATGTTTAATTTAAGTGTATGTATACACACATTTTTTTTTGTTTCTTTTTATATGTGGATACAGTAGTGAACGTTAAAAACCCCAGACATTTTATTTTTTGTTGTCTGTGTCCCATTGGGGAGATTTCGCTTCCTGTATGGAGACGAGATTGAGAGAAATTCTCTACAAAATTAAAGGGAATTTACGTTCTAGGCAATTATCCCCACAACAAGTATCCCCATTGGAAGATTTTCCCTTTATTCTTGTTCTGAGGACTTTAAAATTTTGGGTATTCTCAGTTGTCCCTGTCTGTGCTATTGACAGCATTTGATTACATTGATCTGGACACTGACATAAAACAATACTTTGTCTAATTAACACTGGAATTTTCAAAGAACTCTTTTCTTGGTGACAGAATAAAAAAATAAGTAGTTCATATAAATATAAATGTATTTAAAAGGCAGAAGTATCCAATAAGCCAGTCAGATGATCCCGTTCGTGAGAAACAGAAGTGTGCGTTCTTTTTGTTCGCAGTGAAGCAACAGCGACATCTAGTGGACAGTTTGCAAAAACACTTTTGGAACAGAATCGGTGCAATCAGTAGAGCATAGAGCAGAATATTTTATTGTGCAGTTTTGTGGATTTGGTTTGAAATTCATAAAATAGTGCTGTGGAGGTAGATAGGGCTTTGAGTAAGCTAAGCTTATACTGCCTTATGTATACTGAAGTTCCTAAACACTAAATCCAAGCAACCTTAGCAATGAATGTTTGTATATTTGTATGTTCTCCTCTATTTCATGTGTTGCCATGATGTTTTTCACATTAGCACCAAAATCAGATTCATGATGTTGTCTGTCCTTTTTTAATATTGTATTGTTTTTTATTATCAGAAGGGTACATTTTCATTATGACATTGTAAAACAGAACCTTCAGTTCTTTCTGGCCTCTGCTTACTTCTTGTCCAGTGCAGTGACGTGCTGTGCCTTCTTTGCTGGGTGAGGCGCCCCCTGCCCCGCTGAAGCTCCACCCCCTGTCCCCCTGAAGCTCTCCCCCAGCTTGGTAACCAAGCTGTGTGGGGAGGAGGAGGCAGGGAGGAGCCTCCCTGTCCCTTACTTGCACGTTGCTGGTGAGGCATCGAGATCGATGTCCTCACTGTTTTTTTTCTTCTTTTTTTTGAGTGGATAGCTTGGACCAATGAAGCTTTGCCATTGGTCCAAACCATCCACAGAGCTCACGCCTCTTAACACAGAGTAGAGGCTGTGAAAGGCTCTTGCCTCACCAAGTTAGGTTGCACAAGCAGTGGGGAAGCCTACTGCTGTGTAACCTAACTACCTGTCAAAATCCAGATGCAACGCCGCCTGTAATTAACAGGCAGCGCTCCGTCCATGACAGGTTACACAGCGGGGAGGCTTTTCCTGCTGTGTAACCTGTTAGAGGCCGATCTAAATGGAGAAAAAGCTGTCGGCTTCAGACTTGAAGACCTGGTCCAATGTATCTACTGAAGGTCAGCCTGACAGGACTGAAGAATGGTGGGAAGAGTAGCAAAATAGACTGCATTTAGCTACATAGCTAATGTTAATAACTTAAAACATGTTTAAGATTTCATTATGTAGTATATTGTATGGGTCAGCTTCACGCACATACTTTGCAGAGAGGTAGTTCAGATGCCAAACTGCATTAAAAGGTTTATTGCCCATGTTTTTGTCCCTCCTGCATCAGGGGCTGTGCCAGCACAGTCCAGTGTACAACAAAAGATTTAAGGTGCCCATACACCTTACGACCATCGCAAGACTTTTGTCTTGCGATGGTCCTACCTGCTGACTAGTTATGAGACCGTTTGGGTCTGCTTAGACCTGCTGGCTGTTTGAGCACAACCTTTATGCAGTCTCTGTAAAACACCTTTCCACACCACACATCCTGGAGAGCATTTCAATTGGGGAAAAGTATGTGGCCATTGGTTAACCCTGTGCCTACTGCCACACAAATCTACCAGTATCACCAGTCTATCCAATAAAAGTCCAGAGACTATGCGGCAGGTAAACCACATCCATGACTCTGGACTGAAAGGGGCTGTTTGTGACAATATTTATAACTCATTTCATAATGTTATAAAGGTCATCAGTTGAGATTAAAGAAAAACAAAATTAACCCTTGCAGTGGCTACCCCCACACTGCAGCAGTTATGTGCTTGTCTTTCGTCTAGGGCAGGGGTAGGCAACCACGGCCCTCCAGCTGTGCTGAAACTACAAATCCCGTAAGGCATTGCAAGCCACAGGCATGACTCCCAGAGGCAGAAGCATGATGGGATTTGTAGTTTCAGCACAGATGGAGCCAAGGTTGCCTACCCCTGGTCTAGGGTGTAAAATTACGAAGATTTACTCACCTGACCCTGACCAGTCCCGCAATCTCTCCCCCTCCACTCCAGCTGTCTAAGGATCTGTGATGTCATCATGTCTAGTATAATGAATTAGACGTGAGGATGCAGTGGAAAAATCTATCGCTGGAGCGGAGAGAGAGAGGCTGCAGGCACCAGTCAACAGCCGGGTGGTATCGAAGTTCGGGTGAATGTATCTTATTTTCGGCCCTAGATGAAAACGAGCACTTAACCCTTGCAGTGCGGGGGTAGCCCCACTGCAAGGGTTAAGTTTTAATCTGCCGGGGTTCTTCTTTTATACCCTATCAATAGATGCAGATACATTTGTTAACCTGTTTTATATAAGAACAGTTCATTAGTTTTACAGCTCTTTTCTTCTTTTCTCTAGGTGGCTATCCTGATCCTCAGAAGGGGGCTGCAGTAGGCAGATCATTCTCTCTTAGTTGGAAAAATCATTCGGATACACATGAGCCTATGAGATTTCGGAGTGCTACTACCTCTGGGGCTCCAGGTGTGGAGAAAGCAAGGAACATGGTGCGGCAAAAAGCCACAGGTGAGTTTATCCGGCCAGCTGTTCATATTCATGCAGTCCCTTAACATATACAGTATAATTGAGTGGTAATAAGAGTATGCCTATTAAAGTGGACCTTTACCCCAGTCACCAAAAATGTACATCAGCATACAGCTCAGCATGCTGATCTGAGATCATCTTGCCTTCATTAGTTGAACAAACATATTTTTATTTTACTTACAATTGCTGTTTTTCTACTTCCTGGTCCTCTTTGGCACAAATGATTTATGTGCCCAATCGTTGCATTCTCGGAAGGTTACATCAGCAGTGCTGGTAAATCTCATCTGTAATCTGACTAGATCTCAGGGAAAGGCATTTTCCTGCCCTGAGATGATGTGCATGGTCACATGTTCTAGTCACATGTGCCGGAGTTCCAGGAAGTAAAAGGACATATAGCAATCTGCCCTTAGTAAACATGGCCACTGACAGCAGAATGAGGAAGAAAAGAGAAATAAGGTATGCAAAGTCGGCAATTATCTAGAAGTATGTGTTTGTAGATTGTCATTACTAAACATTTCTAAAGGTGTGTTTGTTGTCATTTCAAAGATATGGGTAAAGGTCCGCTTTAAAGTAAGTCTGACTTGACCTAAAAAGGGACTAACAACTCTGTACCTACCAGTATCTACAAATACCTACTTTAGGCCTCTTGTAAATGTATTCAGGGCCTCAACTACTGTCCAAGTTGAGTCTAAGCCCTGGCTATCCTTGCACTAAACCCCACCTCATTTAGTTGTGAAATGCACACCCTTCAACTGTCCCCTAAGACTCTGAAATGTAACTGTTAAACAGCGGGGTGGGGGGGGGGGGGGGGCGGAACTGGCGGGAAGTTTAGGGGGGCATTGTAGGAGGAGAAAAACTGAAAAATATTCCATGTCGCAATGTAAGGTGTGCTGTGACATTATTTGTTAATGGCACCCCAAAATATTTAGACATCACATGTGTGTTGTATCACACTACATTACATGGTCACCTGGTGCAATGCGATTTAACAAAAAAGAAAAGAAAAGCACTCACCTCATAGTTCTCCTTTAATCGCTGGGTGCAAACCTCCAAACCTCTCCAGTGTGGAAGTGACTTTGTAAGCATGGAGGTGACTGTTATGTGCTGGTTTGAGCCACAATCAGATCACATCAGTTGGCTGCTTTATATTGATTACAACTAAACCATATCAGGGTTCTTGTTTTACAACCCCAATTCATATTCTTTGCTGCTTACTGTCTGATAGAAGTTTCTGTGCATGCTGAACATATGAAGTTCTCTCCTAACTTGTTCTTATTCCCTCTGCTCTGTCGTCTCCTCTTAAAGCCAAGCGAAGTCAGTCTATCAGCAACTGTGTTCATCTGTATGAGGCTTTGCCAGCAGCTAAAAGTGTTCCACATCTCCTTCACAATGTGAGCTCTCTCTTACCTGGTATCTCTTATGCTTCTTGTTCTCAGAAACTCTCAGGTACTGTATCTGATTCTTTTCTTGCTTACTGCTGCCCATCTTCCTTTCCAGCTTGTGTTTATCTTTCACATCTAAAGTGCTAGAGCCTCTGTGGCACAGTTCATATTTTCTGCTTACAATATTGCTTTTAGACACTTGCATGGTTTACAGTTAGTGGGTACTTAAAGCTGAACTCCGCATACAAAAACCTATAAAAAAAATATATTCCTTCTTAGCCACAAAGGATATATATCAACTTTAGGTGAACAAATCCCTTTGCAAAAACAGTTATTACCTTGTAAAGGTAGCAGTGACTTTGCCATTTTGCTGTACATAGCCTGTGCAGAAAGCAGAGCTCTGGGAGGGGCCAAGTAACTCTACCCACTACACAGCTGCCAGGAGAAAACTATAGGAGGAGGGGTGGAGACAAGGCCAGTCACCCTGCATAAGGAGAGAGCGCAGCAGTGACTGGTCTTTATAAGCGGAAGCTCCGGCAGAGAGGCAAGGTTTCAAGGATTACTCAACAGATCTGGAAGAAATACACAAAGCACACCAAGATTCAAATAAGAATACACATGCCCTCTTGTATTTAGTCTTTTCTCATCTCAGAGTTCAGCTTTAACTGTGCATCATTTACTGGTTTTGAGATCTGAAACCAATTCCTGACCCTATTTCTTTTGTAGTCCACAGTTGTGCATTAAAAGTCAAACTTTTTTATTTCAGTTACATAAATTGGAGAAGGATAAAAACTAGGGCTGTGCAAATTAACGATTAATTTCTCGATTAATTGTTAATCTTTTTGATCGATTAAAATTGTTTTGATCGCTAATGAAAATACTCACCTCTCCGCCGGCTTCCGGGAGTCCCGTCGGAGATCCGGTGAAGTCACGGACATTGACGTCACCGTACTCCTCCCCCCTTGCCCAAGTGGCTCCTTCGGCTAACGAAGGGAAGGGGAGAGGAGTCCGGTGACGTCGATGTCCCCAAGTGGCTCCGTCGGCTAACTAAGAGAAGGGGGAGGAGTCCAGTTTGCCCAAGAAACTTTCTGCACGAGCGCTAGCCAAGGCATTGGCCTATACACATACAGCACAGCAATGAAGTAATAAAATGAACTAGGATCACACTAATCCAGCACATTATTATTCTGAGTTGCCCCACTCAAGCGGCAGCCATATTGAGTGGGGCACGTGAGATTATTAACGTGCTGGATTAGTGTGATCCGAGTTCATTTTATTACTTAATTGCTGTGCTGTATGTGTATAGGCCAATGTAGTTGGATCTGTATGTGCGTTATAATTAATCAAAATGGAAAATTTGATTAATCGAACACGAAAATTTTAATCAGTGACAGCCCTAATAAAAACCCTTGTCAGGTTTTTATTGCGGTTTCCTCTGGCAGATTCACCCTCTCAATGTGCCCTGGTGATCATTGTCACCGATACACAAATTAAAGCAGAATCTAAAAACTCTTTAAACAGGAATAGGTAAGAAATCCATTCTGGTGACGGCTGCCTAACATTTTAACATACGCACGGGTTCCACGCGTTTGCAGCTACTACTATAGCCAGAACGCACGGATGTCGCCCAGAATATCGCACTTGTACTTTTTTGCACGATGGTGTGAATTGAGTACATTAAAATGTATGGGTTTTTGTGTTCTATGCGTTTCAGCTCGTACAAATATGCATGGAAAAACGCGCAGGTGTGAACAGAGCCTTAGAGTGCAAGTCTTCTGTAGAGATTTCCTCTCACTTTTTGTTGTGTCTCTGGGACAGGAAGTAAGAGGAAACTTCCCCAACAGAACACAGACAGCAAAAAAATTAACTGAAACGTTTTCTTTAACTTTACTCGATCCAAAACTAAAAAGAAAGGTCTGGTATATAGATAATCTTTACCCAGAAGTAAATTTAATTAGCTGAAACTTTTATTTCAGTAACTTGTCACTTCTGGCCCACTTTTCTCTTAACTTTATTTTTGTCACTTGGAGGTTTTTGCCTGTTTGGAATTCAGTATGTACTCTTCAGATAATATGGGTCGTTTATTTAATTGATGGTCATATTTCTGCACATAAGGATCGGTTTATTTATTTGATATATAGATGTTCTCTGTCCACATTTGTATACTTCTGAAGTTACATTGTTTCACATATTTGTTACTAGCGCGGCACAGTTTATTATTTTGTGTTCACAATCCTGTCTTGCATTGGAGTAGTACCTGCGGGCTATATTGATGTTTCTGGCGCAAAATATTTATGTTTATTAGTGTTGCAATACTTATATGTTTAAACTGGCAAAGGATTTGTAATCCTGTGAAGCCAGTCTTGTAATACACACCCCTCTGATACACAGTAAACCAATCTGCAACTTCCAGATTGACTGTTACTGCTCCCTGTGTCAGCTCCCTAGGCAGAGGTGATGAGGCCAATTTTCCTGTCCAATGAGGAGGCTGGAAGAAGAGAGATGCAATGGGAAACCCGAATTTCTGAAAAAGATCATGAATTGCTTAAAGCAGACCTTCAGTCCACTAAATAAGTGAACCTCCCCTTCCCCTTTATTTACATTTGTAAAGTTTGTTGTTTTTTTTAATACAATGTTTTTGTTCTTGTGTGTGTGTTTAAATTTTTTTTTAACACTGGCCCCCACCCCCCATGCCACCATTTTTGCCTAGGCAAGAATGGTATGTTTTGATTTTGCCGCCTGCTAGGATACTCCCGTCATATTTCTGACAAGTGTCCCCTGCATTCTGACAAGTGTCATCAGGGGCCCCTGCATTCTGACAAGTGTCATCAGGGGCCCAATGACTAAGTAGACGTGGGACCGGGGCTGTGGCAGTAGAGCGCAGCAGTACAACGCTTAGCTGGGCAGTTGAGTATGTAAACAAAAAAAGCAGGCAGGAGGGAGTCCACTTCCTCTTTATTCAGGAACTGTGTGTTTCACCTGTCCGGCAGTGCAGTGTGGAAATCCCAAGACTGGCTTTACAGAATTGCACATCCCTTGGCCGGCATGACAGTGAAAATGTATATGCATTTATATGCAACGCTGTAATTAGGTGTATGTCTGGAATTCAGATATAATGTCTCTTACAAGCTGATGGATAACATGATGTTCCAGGAAGTAATGACAAATGCAAGATGGAAGTAATATTTTAGCAGATTTTTGTATTAAAGCAATTTTAATACTGATATTATGGGACATTTCAGAAGTGGATGAGACGCAACAGCCACAAGATGGGTCAGCTATCTCTGAATCAAGTGGTGCAGTTTGCAGCCAAGAGCCACAGGAACTAACTCGGTGTAGCAGTACCTCTGACCTAGCAGAGCAGACACAACCCAGTTTATTGCAAGGTGAGACTTCATGAACATCACACATATTAGAAACTATACCTTTTCAGAAAAGCATTGTTTATGTACATATACACGTGTGTGTGCCTCTGCTGAACTTAGAAAGAAGGTGGAGAGCTCTAGCAGGAGACTTGCTGTAAGTCCCATTTTGTATTTCAGTTGATTCACAGTTGAAGTTCACACACCAAACCTGTGCTAGTTTCATGTTTCATGCACTGGGTTGGAGGCGTAGGCGGGTACACGCATTGTCAGTTAACTGGGCACAGAAAGTGATAACTTCAGACTAGATGAGGAACATTTTTCTGCACTCAAGATACTTCAGAATAAAGAGTTTGAGTGCTCTAAGGCTTTTTCTTTCCTAACTTGCTCAACCTGATTATTGCTTTGTTGTATGCTGTAAAAACCTGCTTTGAAATATATACTAAATGCTTCTTTATCATGTGTTTTTTTTTTTTATAGATAATAAAACAGAAAACACTAATGATTGTTCATCAGAATGTAACACTGCTCTAGAGCCGGGAGAGGGTACAAAGAGAGATAGCGATGGTCCAATGGTAAGCCTAATGTTTAACTAATATGTTCAGTCCCAACAAGCTTCGGTTAATTTTACATAGACATCATACCAGTGAAGTTAAAAAGAAAAAATAACGTAAAAATATTCAGCAATTGTAATCTTGTATAAAAGTTGAAACCCCCCCATAATCTTGGAATCTCAGTTTTAGATCCCACCATACCATTCTAAAAAAAACCTTCATCTGCACAGTTCAGCAGCTTTGGCTTCCTCCCAAAAGTCACAGAATCACAGCAGTGATATCCCTCAGGTTATTTATTGTAAAGTGCAGGTTGGTGAGGTCCCCGCCCCCTGCATTCTGAGCAGCACACCAACTTCTGTGTCATAGAGCCAGATTGGCCCATACTGCTGGCTGCTAAGAACAGTACCCCAAATTGTCTATAGGATACAATGTAAAAGCTTTTACAGGTCATCAATTTAGAGTTCACCATGAGTAATGGCCCTAGAATTATTGTTCTCACTTAGGCATGGCAACGATGATTTACTGTGTACTTGAGGGCAAGGGATTTTGTTGTTTGGGGGACGGGGGTTACATTTGTTTTATTTAACTTTATTTTTAAAACTTTTTTTTAAACTTATTTTAGTACAA